CCCCAAAACCCCAAAACCCCAAAACCCCAAAACCCCAAAACCCCAATTGCCTTCTTAAGAACTGAATTTAAAATATTTAAATTTGCCAAATTGGGCTATAAATGAAAAAGCTCTTTAAACAAACAGGAATCATCGCCTTGTTACTTTTTGCTGCTCTCTTTGTTGAGCAAGGATGAGCAATGGTGGTAACCAAGAAAGTAAGACTGAATGGGAAAAATCAGTTCTCGTACATTACGAAGTTTGCAGTTGGAGAACACCACACTGGACTAGTATCCTTGAGAGCAAGGCTTGATAGTGAGTGGGACTATGGACCAGGAAAGCCAGATACTGTTCCTGTCGATTTCAATTTTTATACTGAGGAAAGTTGGGATAGAGTACTTGAGAAAGATGATTCAGATTGATGGGGAAAAGCTGGCTTGCAAGATATCGATCAATGGATAAATATCCCATCTTGGAATCATTGGTCTGAGCCTGTAAGACATCATCTCCCTGTTCATTCACAGACTAAAGTATGGTATTTCGCAGTATGCGATTGCTCTCACAGAGCTCATATGGAGTTCCCAACAATGCCTAAAATTAAAATTGAGATTACCATGACCAATGATGGGTCTCATTTCTCTCAAGAAGATATGTACTTATTACCAATGTATTTCCTTTCATTTCTATTCTTTACGTTTTTCCTGGGGAAGTCGATTCTTGAGTTTTACAGAGATTTTAAGAAGGAGCACACATTTGAGAACCCTCTTATTCCTCTGATGGGAAGCATTACAATAGATTTCTTCCATTTGATGTTCATGTTTATCCACATGATGTTCGTGTGGGAGTTCGGAGAAGGAGTCATTGAGTTAGGAGTTTTTGGAAGATTATTCAAAGTTATCTCACAAGGAGTCATGATGTGGCTGATGATTACAATCGCTTTTGGATGGACAATTACTTATAAAAACATGGGAGAGAAGGATATTTACATTCTATCTGCAATTTTTATTGTGATGATTCATTTGTTAATCGGAGCCTTAACGTATATTGATGATGAGAGTCATCATAAGTACCATGACTTTGGGGGAGTACAAGGAGTTATATTGGTACTTTTAAGAGTTGTTATTTATGGAGTATTCCTCTATGGTATAAAAGAGACATCTAATAGTGCAAATAACAAACAGAAATCATTCTTATGGTCTCTGACAGTCTCTGCAACTATATACATTCTCTCGTTCCCTTTCTTGTGGGTAGTGTCCATGATTACGGACAGGTATGTTATTAACAGATTTATCACTTTCGGAACATTAGCAGCTCAGGCATTGGCTGCATACTACTTGCTCCATCAGCTGACAAAGAAGGGGTCCAGCTACTACGGCGCATCTCACAAGTCGAAGACCATTTTACCTGGAGCCAAGTTCGATTAATGCTCTCAATATTATCAATGTTGCCATACGCTTCAATCCTTGTCAGACTCAACACACTGAGTGGCCATTGGGGTTTTGGGGTTTTGGGGTTTTGGGGTTTTGGGGTTTTGGGGTTTTGGGG